GGGGGGGGTAGGCAGCACAGGCACGGATCGCCGTCCACTTGGCGTTGCGTTCATCAAAAGTTAGTCAGTCACAGGCGTCACAGGTCAGTCAGAATGGTCAGAATAAAGCAGGGTTAGCTTGAACGGTCGTCATGGTCGTCATCGTACAGGGATCCCATGGAGGTGGCAAGGTTGCGAAGTAATATGGAAGACGGCAATTTTGATTCAAACGTTGAATAGATTATATTCTGAGGTATAAATTAGCGGTATAAATCGGCATAAATATTGTGCCATGTTGGATATATTTTTTGCGTGAGGAGATTCTGTTCTCCTTCCTACGACAGAATATCAGGTAATTGTATTTTATTCTAACGTAGTCAGTATGTAAAATAATTCGTATCTCTGTAAAACGTGCGATTGGTACAGTAGGTGTCTGAGTTAGTAAAAAGTATTGTTTTAAGCGAATTATGTTCTAAATGAGACAGGGATTATGTACGTAAAAATCGTGACAGCCGGTGTGGATTCTTTGTTTTACAGAACAATATGAGTGTAATTAAAGTGGAAGTAGAATCAGATAGTAAGGTACGTGAGCTTGGTGTTAAGATAGAACAGGCTGAAGATTATTCTTCAGTGACGTGTGAAGGTAAGAAAAAATGATCTTTCTGGTATTTAAGTAATCATAATTTTTTGTTTTACTTCTATGCACAGTTGTTTTTATTTTGTTATGGCTACTTTTCATATTTGTGAAGCGCTGAAACACATCTCTGTATTAATGTATTACGAGGTGCACAGATGTTTGCGTATGATTCCGTATGTTGGGCTGATATTTGTATTTTTGTTAACCTATGAAATATAAAATGATATTGGCCAAAAATGTTCTAATTCTTCCTGCTTTCATAGTGTTGATTGTATACTGGGTACTTCATGAATGCATGTTAGAAATACTGCCGCATCATATGCTTGACGAGTAAAGAAATAACTTGCATTAAGCAATATGGAATAACACTGAACCATAACCTGACTTTTAAATTGACAGATATAAAAAGCGGTATTGCTTCAGTTCAGAGTGTGGATAGAATGAAAGAGGAGCCTGATTTGGGATCCATAGTATCACCTGATGAAGATCAGTTTGATGATGCAAAAGAGGAGCAGCAGCTGGCACCATTTGCTTTTATTGCAGTAGAAAGTGATATTGCAGTGAGTTATATTTTCTTGCTTTTGTGAGAAGTAGTTCAGTCTATGTAGCAGATCCACTAGTAAAGAAATGCGTTGGTGATTGGCTACTTTGTGAACCGAATTATTCTGTTTGCCAAAAATAAAGTGAACTCTTTTTCGACAAATATATCTGTAACCATTTCCTGCACATTATATTATACTTTTAATCTTATTGGATATTAAAAATGTTGAGACGCCATAAAAGAACATTACAAAGGGAAGGATTGGTGATCTTCAAGTTGTATTATGAGAAAGTTAGTTCATTAGTTCATCCCTGAAGATGATGGTACAGATGATAATACTTAGTAATACATTTACTGATTAACACATGAAGCAGAGTCCTTCTGTTGAAGCTAATAGTTACTCAGCCACTTAAAAAATTCCCACTGTTTTATGGAATCTTGCCACTGGTCCCTATCAAAAGCCAGATGAACGCAGGTCAAAGTACTGGTGATGCTGCTTTAAAATGGACTGTGGCTGATATCTGAGTCACCATACAGTTATCCTCTCATCCTTTGTTGTAGAATAAACTTCCTTAGTTGATGTTATATTTCAGCATCCTGTTGTACTGAATTATCACTTGCGGTTTTCTTCTGTCTATAATGTAACAATATCAGTATAGATTTAGATGAGGCTGATCCACATTTAACTCACTAAAATGTTCCTTAAAATGTTTAAAAATGTCACACACATTTTATGTTTTTGCGCTGAATATTTAGGCCACACAGGACCATCTTCAGGCAACACATCCTATTATGCNATCTATATAGATATTTTGCAATATAGACAGTAGAAGACTAGAAGTTCTATAGTTGATTTATTATTGTTAAATAACATGAATGAACAGTATCACCTGATTTGCTATTTTGTCACTGAACTCTCTACATGCTATATAGCAACAGAATTGCATCAGGATACTTGCTTTAAAATCAACACCGCCAAAGATGTCAATGTGTTGTTCATTGGTTGGTACAGTTTTTTTTTATTGCTAGTGGGTGGGGACTGAGTCCCTTGTACTGCGGCCACTTCTGGCCTCTTGTACCAGCCCCAGATGATAGGTGAGGGTGACTGTGGAGCATTTGGTGGAATGAAGGTTGGCAGGGGAAACCAAAGTACTCGGAGTAAACCTGGCCCAGTGCCACTTTCCACCACAAATCCCACTTGACCAGACCTGGGATCGAACCCAGGCCGCCGCGGTGGGAAGCCAGCGACTAACCGCTTGTTCTATGGTACGGCCCAATTGGAACAGTCGACGTAAGTTTTGAGGTTTTCATAGCAGTGAATATTAAGATTGTGGTTGTCTGAGTTGTTATACCGTGTAGTTTCTCCGTTTTCTTTGTTTAATCCCATGGACTTGTAATGGGTTCCTTTCTTTGCCCCCCTCTCTTGGATTTCATGACCATTTTCCCCATGGGTTTCCCCATGCCGGCTGTTGATCTGTTGTGCATCCCCGTATAATTATTCTACTAGTTGCCATGCCCTTCCAGTACTGGTGCTTACTATCAGCCCCGTTCTGCCAGCGAGGTCGGCCCTCTCTGGCAGTGGTCCCCGATACTTCCCCATCTACCGGAGGGAAACTTTGCCTAATTTTGCTTAGAGTTCTCCTAGAGACATGAGGATCTTTTATGTGCTGTAAATCTAAGACACGGGACACACGGCTTAAAAGTCCCTCCCAGAGGACTTGTTCCCTGAATTTTTCCACCCTTAAAAATTTCACGACCTCCACTAGGTTTGAACCCGTGTACCTTGAGTCATGAGGTGGGAATGTTACCCCTAGACTACGGAGGTCTCTTTTATCCAGAGTTAGTCAAAGGGATAACCACAGAGGTCCAGATATTGACTGTTGTTTTTTGATACCACCAGGAACAGTCTTGGGATGGGACATGGATCAAGGAAGAGCCAGTAGATGAAAAGAGTGAAGAACCGCGAGAGTGGCGTCTTAATGGGTGAGTGATGGTAAAGGCTTTTACTGTGTTATTGTGAAGACTTTCATCATAACGTTTTGCTGTGAGTAAGAATGTGCAGATGTGAGGGCCAAGTACAGTACTGGTGTCTTCCAACTTGTGCAGCAGTTGTGTTCCCATGAGCGGTTGCATGACTAAATCACATTATTTGGAATTTGCTCGTACCATTGTTATTAGTGTTACTTTCAAGGGTTTGTAATTCAGTTAATGCCTAAAGGATTATTTACGTCATCCAGTGTGATTGATGATTTTTTTTTTCCCTTTTTAATCTTTCATCCTTTACATGTTCTGGTCAGAGTGACCATCTTCAGAAGGACATATCAATACATGCGAAAACTACTATTACAATGTCATTGATACATCAGTACATACAGACACTATTATTACAACATCATGAATATAAAATATTAGCCTTTAACAATTACAGAAATGTCCATGAACTTATTAAAATATTTATAAATTATTATAATTAGTCTATTTACAAGTTTTTGTTTAAAAAACTTTGTTAAAATCTAGAACCAATTTGGTTTGTGTCCTTTATATTGCTTCTCTTTAATTGTAAATTGATTGTTCTTTCGTTGCCACGGTTATTCCAAGACAACGATGTGCTGTTTCAGCAGTTTGTTGTGACAGTTATTCCAAGGCAACGACCCGCTGTTTCAGCAGTTTGTTGCCATGGTTATTCCTAGGCAATGACCCGCTGTTTCAACAGTTCGTTGCCACGGTTATTCCTAGGCAACGATCTGTTGGTATTCGATAGACAATGTATAATACGTTACAGTATATTAATATTGAATACAATTAATACTTTTACCTGTTTTTACCTGTCACGGGTGTGACAGCTACATAATAGGCATATAAAAACACGCGCATATTCGAATGCAACGTTGTGTCAAAATTTCGAAGCAGTCGGTGAAGAACTTTCAGAGATCTTCAAGGAGAGCCAAACCAACAGTTACATTTTTATTTATATAGATTTTTAATTATTAAAGTTAAGAGGTGTTTAAGTTAATATATTATTAATCTTCTTGATATTTAAATTCTTTAACTGATTTCTGTCTCCATCTGCCTCTTCTATCAGAACGGTAGATTTGGGTGTTATTTGTCGTCCTGTGAGATACTCTGAGTCACAGTGGTCGATATTGTCAAATCATTTTGTAATAAGTAAATAGTGTGATAGACCAGAATGAATATGTTAAAGTTATTGAATTTGTATTATATATTTCAGGGAACAACACCTGAGCAAACAAGAACGTGACGCTGATACCAGTGTCTGTGTGGAAAGTGGTTATGCAAAGGATATTAATTCTGAAACACTTGCCTACCTTCAGAACAAGATATATAAATGTGATGATTGTCTTGAAGAATTTTCCAACGAAGATGACCTAAAACAACATTCCCTCACTCACTCGGGTGGAAAGCTTCACAAATATGATATATGTAAGATAGATTTATCTCAGTCTGAAAATCTGAAGAGCCACTACCAACCTCACAGTGAGGAGCAACCTGATATCTGTGGTAAATTCTCCACTCAGAGCGATGCATCGAGTGAACACTGTGAGTCCTACCAGGTAGAGAAACCTTACAAATGTGATTTATGTGAAAAGAAGTTTGCGCTCAGTGTAAATCTAAAGCGTCACTATCGCGTGCATAATGTAGACAGGCCACATAAATGTGATGTTTGTAATGCAGTGTTTTCTGTGAGTGGCGCTCTCCGGGTTCACTCTCTGAGTCATTTGGGAGTAAAGACACACAAATGTGACATATGTTTTAGAGAATTTACTAGAAATGAAAGCCTTAAAAAGCATTATATCACACACACAGGAGAGAAGCCATACAAGTGTAACATTTGTGGCAAAGAATTCTCGCAGAATGCAAATTTACAAAGACATCATCGAACCCATAGTGGTGATAGACCATATAAATGCGATTTGTGCCCAAGGACATTTGCCAGAAGTGAACACTTAAAATCACACATTGAAATCCATATGTGACTATGAGATGTGGATCTATACATCCACTCCCTCATACACCTTCATGGCGTGGTGCTTAATTGGTTAAGCACAGTGACAAATTCACCTTTATGTGACTGTGAGTTTGTGTCTTACCATAGTATAAAAGTACAGTGAATTTTTTGTGATCACCAAAAATCGTTGGAAAGTCTCGGGCAGAAAAATTAGACGCTTCTCCATCAATTTGGGCCTGGAAGGATGTTACCAACAAGCCTACAACATGAAGAGATTACACATGAATCTCACTATGCTTGCGTAACTTTTTGACTATGAAGATGGAGGCAGTATGTTCCTCCGAAACATCAGTGTGCTTCTGCCAGACTGCGCAGCGGTATATCGCCGTCACTTGTGTGAGAACCTCAGGTCCAACAAAACTTAGCCAGATTACAGCAGGTTCTGGAAATGCTTTTATTCAGCACACATTTCTGGCACATCCATAAGAATGTTCTTGAGGACTGTATGAAACTTATCTTCTGTTATTCACCTTCAGCTCTTCATGGTGTGAGGATTTGATCTGCAGGTAAATAAAAAAGGTAAAGGTAAAGTTGTTCCTGTGCTTAATTAGTTCACAGTACCATGAAGACATGGGGGCACAGAGTAGTGTAGTTGGTTGAGGCACTATGCTACAAGTTGGAAGGTTGCAGGTTTGATTCCTGATGTGGATTTTTTTTTCAGTTGACCTGATCCTTCCAGCTGCAGGGGGGGCGACCCAGCCTCCAACAGAAATGAGTTCCAGGAATCTTCCTGTGAGGTAAAGGGTGGCCGGCACGTAAAGCTGACAACCTTACTGCCATCAGTGAGTCGACTATCTAGAAAATGTGGGAGCCTCGTCGTTTCACAACCCTATGGGCCTCCACAGCCTGTTACAGGATAGCTCTTAGCTTTTTGCCATGAAGACATGGAGTGGAAGTATAGCTCCACCTTTTTTGACCTTGGTAGTAGGTAGTGGTGCATGGTCAGCTTCACGCCCCGGCCCATTTACCCATGAGGAAAGAGCCACAGGTATCCACTGGATAGGAAGCTGAGTGAGCACTAGAGTTGGTTTGGATGCTATCAGTAAATCATTACGTGACTTATATTTTATTATTTTGGATCATCCTGTGAGTGAATCATGCCATATTAGTCTCAGATTTTATTAGCCCATAAATCTGCTGCTATGTGAACTTACCCAACCAAGCCTCATTGGAAGAGGAGATCAGGGGAGGTCAATTTCATGACCACAGACAGACTGAAGAATCCAGTTACAAAATGTTACTGTATTAGTAGGATATCATGCCTGTAATTCATGCATTCTGTTTGTCTTTATGGTGTCAGCTTCAGCAGTTTTGTGGCAGTTCTTGCTGATGATTTTGAAACCTTGGTTTCATGTGCATGCCGTCTAAGGGAATTTGAATCTGATTTTATCCAGTTCCTCTTATGTGAGCGTTGCAGTACTAAATTTTTAAGTTCAATTTTTAAGTAGTTTGAAGGATGAAGCCATTTTTGAAATTAAATGGTTGAAAAGCTCTTAAACTATTTCATTTCCTTGTTCTGTAACCAGCCAATTGCCAGGTTGTAGGTGAAACCCCCTACTGAAAGAGCAGTCATGTGATGTGTGGTCAGTCCCCTGGCGCCTCAGGAGTCAGTGATGAATGAGCATGGAACAGTTAATTTTTGGCTCTGCAGTTGTCTAAAACATGGCCTCTTTTAGGACAGATGCTCATTTTCTGTGTTTTCCTTATGTTCCCATATCACCACTTTCATGTGGCATAAATCATTCTCTTCATCTTTCAACCAACTCATTCTGGGCCTTCTCATTTTCTTTTTCTACCTTCTAGATGCCTTTAATTCTGTCTGGAAGAAACCAAGCACATTCCAAGAAGCAGAATATAGTCTAACTCATTGTCCTTATCACCTTTCTTGGTTGTTTCTTAATACTATCCGTCCAGTGTCCATTGTTAGGTCTGTTAACACAAATTGTTTTCAGAGTTCAGGTTGTTAGTCTTGTGCACAGTCATCAGCCTGATAGACCATGAGCTACCATTTGTCTAGCCCTGTATGGCTTGGGTGAATCCCCAGAAACGTAGTTCATAATCTGGGTATGTAAACCTCCCCATCACATTACAGCTGTAGACCAGGTGGAGGGAGTGATGATTGGCAAGGGAAGACAGAAGAAACTTGAAGAGAAACCTACTTGTAATTTTCATTTCATGCATCCTGTTGTGTTATAATATACACCTTCTTTATTACAACCATCACAGCACAACTAATATCAAGATCAGTGCCTAGTTTTGGCTCTGCTACATGTTTCGGCTATTAATAGTCATCATCAGGCAAATACATGGTTAAGATATATACACCACTGAACCGCAGTACTAGTAAAATTGGATGCAATATTATTAATTATATAAAATACTTGATGTAAAAGTACAATAAATTAGATTATATAAAACAAAAGTTATAGTATAAAACAAGAATAAAATTCTTCGACTGATGTTTTTCATCATCGAATCAGTCGTTCGTTTTTGTAATTTTGTTGCATTCCCACAGACAAATTGGAATATTCTATATATTGTGTATGTATAAAAAATGTATTGGAGGCTCATGATGTAGATGTAGTAATATTAATGTTAATTATTTAGTCGGTATTGTCCGATCTGTAGGGAATGTAAACAACGAAAAGAAAAAAGAAAAACTAGGAATGCGGGACATGCAACGTTTTGCTCGAAGTAAAAACCTATTCCAGGGGTTAATGGCTTTCTACATCATGACAAATGTGATGATGGAATTCCTGAGGTCCGCTGCGATGAGCTTCACCAAATTCACCCTTTCGATGTTGATAGGGGTGTTGGATCTCCGTGAAATCGACCAAGCGTTGTTCCTCATTATATGGATTTTATTACATATAATGGCCCACCGTCTTCCCTTCACTATGAAAATAATGAATAACGTTACATGGTGCAGGATTGGCCGTATGTTGCACAATCCTATCATGGGCATCTCCAGCCTCGCCATCTCCCTACTCATGATAAACAAGGGAAATCGCCGACGTCTAGATGTTGCCATATGAATGACAGTATTATGGATGCTGATATTAGGATCGATGGCAGCAATTAAAATGCCCCAATACATGTTTGGATTCAGCTGGGTCATCATCAGGAAATTTTTGTAAAATGTACTACTCTTTACAGAACTGTATTTTTAATGTGGATCAGTATTAGTGATCATTAATAGTAATAGTTTCATTAATTTGAATATTAGACTCAAAATGTTATAACTCAGTTAAAAAAAACAATTTTTTTTTTGTTTGAGCTTGCAGTACAAGTCTCTGCTATTGTATCATAGAGTAGAGGGTTTTTTTCTGTGGATCTGGGCTGTTTTCTAATATAAGTGGTGTATGTTCATTCCTTTTGACTTTTGAGTATGAAGATGGAGGCAGTGTGCTGCTGCTGGACTGCACAGCGGTATATCGCAGTCACTTGTGTGACAGCCTCAGATCCAGGTTCTGGAAATGCTTTTATTCAACACACATTTCTGGCACATCCATAAGAATGTTCTTGATGGCTGTATGAAACTTATCTTCTGTTATTCACCTTCAGCTCTTCATGCGTGTGAGGATTTGATCTGCAGGCTCTCTGCTTTACAGTTCCCTATACCGGAAGTCTCATGCATGTTGAGGTCACAACAGCATGCTTGCCACAAATGCACACTGTCCCGAGATGTTTCCCACAGAGTGTCTGTGCTGTATGAGCAATAGTGGGGTTGTTGCATGTATGCATGCGAATACTCTTCATCTGTTGAAAAGTGGATGAGGTATCCATGTGAATAAAGAAAATCATTCGGAGTCTGTATTCACATCCCATATTTGTATCCAGTTACAAAACAATATGGTGGAGCCTTCTGAATGGGACGAATCACATGGAGTAGGCCCCAAATTAGTAATTATAAATTGTGCAATAATTTACCAATGGAAACAAAATGTGGCAGATCCATGTACTGTGAAACATTAGCCTGATGCCTACTTTCTCAGTTTGTGTCATTTCTGCAATTGTCGAAATCACTCCAACCGTGCTGGTTGCATCGTTCACAGATATAGAGCATCGTATATTTGCCTGATGATGGTTATTAATAGCCGAAACATGTAGAAGGGCCAAAACTAGGCACTGATCTTGATATTATTTTAGTTGTGTTGTGATGGTTGTAATAAAGAAGTTGTAAACCTACTTGTGTCACCATCGACCACGAATCTCACATGAAGTTACCCAGGATTGAACTTCTGTCCCTGTGTGAGAAGTTGGCATCTGAGCACCTGAAATCTCATGGTCATGATACTGTGTTATTTTGTGGTATGGTGACAGTACCCACAATTGGGCCATGAGCACACGTGTCTGCGCACACAGTTAAGATTACACTGTGAAGTGTCTTCTGTGATATCAGTTGTACAGGGTGTTAGAAAAGGAGTTTAAAGCAATTTAAGACTACCTCCATACTATTGTGTCATTTTAAGAATTGTTCAAACTGATAAATGCTAGGGTGGATATACAGTTCATGTCTCTCATTTACATTTTGATCAAGGACACAACACTGCTTATGCACAAACAGACTTGCAAATCCAGAAAAATCCAAATACCATGGTAACCCACAACCTGACTTAACACTGTAGTACTACTTTTGTGATAAACTGCGGTACCTTGATCTTCACCTTGTGCTTATAATGTGTCTTGTGTATCTTCAAATAATTTTGATGTGGCTGGCTGGAAATTAGCCACAGAAATGAAATATAATAAAAATATAATAATATAGTATAGTGTCAAGTCAAGACATGAATCCTGAAGAAAAAATATATAACTACCCAAGAGGGAAGAAATTACCTCTAGTGTTTCATAAGTAAGCAAAATACCACCAGATGTTACATGTTATTAAATATGTATAGCAGTTCTGTAATGATTGAAATTTTTTAATCTTGGCAGGTGTAGGGTTAAAATAACCTTTAATTCTTGTGAATACCAAATTAATATTATATCAGAGCTTGTAAGAATATTTATACCAGAAAATTGTACTGGCATGTGTGATGTAATTTTCTTATTGGATATGTTAATTATTTAAATACCTTACATAGACAGTTTTTAATACAGTGCTGATAAATAGTATAATAAATATTTGTGATACGGATGAAATGAATGTCAGTATTAATGCATCCTTGTGTTATAAGTCAAAATGTCGGGTGAACAGCCATGAGTTCATAACAGAAGTCTGTTGTTACAGAGACAGTGTGTGTTGAGACATTTTTCTTATGTGTGAAGAACACCGAATTCATGTTGTCCTTTGGTTTTCCTATCATTTTCAGTTTTTTAAGTGACAGTCAACTAGAAATATTGATTAAGAAATGAAGGACGATGATGTGTTGGCTGTAGACAGTCTCTCTGCAAAGATTTGAACCAGTGCTGTCTCAATTATTCTGTCACAAAATTCATAAGTATGTGAATAGTAAACTTTTGAAGTCTGAAATTTATGTAAATATTTCAAAATTCAGCACCTACTTTTCAGTGAGCATGCTATGTCTCCATTATGTTTAACAGAGAAATAATTACTGTTGTGAGGATCATATGAAGCACTTGAATACACTGTGTTGGAAAATTTAGCTCTTCTTTTATCAGTTACAGGAGGTGGTACATATGATTATCACTGTGCATTAAAGGTTTAATTGGTGACAAGTATTTTACTAGGACAGCTGCCCTGTATGTTTCTTTCCCAGGCTCCTGAAAAGTCTTGAGAGTTCTACAGGGTGATTTGCAGTTGACACGAGAATTAGTTCTTTGGAATTCCTAGGACTTTTTGTGTCTGGGAAGAACCATGTAAATAGGAACTATGATAATGTTCCCTCCACAGCATCCAAACTGGCTGTGGGGCCCACGCAGCCTTCTATACAATGGACCCCTGTAGCTAAAGGGCTTGGGGACTTGCAGCACATGTTTAGTTAAGCACAGGAACCACTATGGGTGGGAGCCAGAAAATTTATTTACTAATATGTAATTAAACCACCTAAGATTATTTTTGATGAGTACCTTGGAGTGTTCGTGATAGAATAACTAAGAAAACATAATGTTTGGTTTTAATATTTGATATTTTTCCGATTTTTGTTACCGAAAACCCGCGGGGGGGATATGACTTTGCTCCCATTGAGTACTCGTGGCGAAAATTTCGTTTCAATAACTGTTTTGGGTATAATGCCATGCCAGAAACTAGCTGGGCAACAACTCTTCGACCCATGAGGTGGAGATATGTTCACTTTCGCCGAACTAGGTGTAGGTATACTCCAGAACAAATTTTCATACGAACTGTTACGAAAAGTTACTGGTCATTGACCTTCATCTTGTTTAACGTGCTGCCACCTACAAGACCACGAAGACCACGAATAACTTCCGCAAGATGGCAGCGAGCGCGGTTAGTGAAAATCACGAACAATCACGAAGATCACGAAGGAAGAGATATGAGCGGCATGAGGTTACTAGGTTAAGCTGCAATGGACGTATTACTTAAGACAAATTCGTGTTACTTCGAGGATCGAAAGTGGTATGTTGAATTGAAAATGAAATATGTAATCTTTATTGTTTTACCGGCCTTTATTTAGGCCTACGCCAGCACGCACACCTATTATTAGAAATTTATTGACGTTTTGAAATTCGCTAGGAGCAGCATGCCACTGAAGGTCATCCCATCTTGTTAGCTGGCTTAACAACACCGAAGCCTTGCGAATCCGATAGTTTGTAACAATAGAGTCATTCAGTACAGGAGCGTGAAATTGTGTATAGCTGAGGTATTTGAAAACTGTATTTTGTCAAGGATAATCTGAATCATGTGTAAGAAAAAAACGGGGAAAGGAATGGAGGCATAGCGAAATATTTGGGGTTGATGTTAATGAATCGTAACAAGACATGAAGTAGCCTATTTGCCGACAGTTGCCTACACGGAAGAATGCGAAATTCTCTATTCAGATTTAAGAAACTGGGTACATTAATATCTGTCGTTACGTGTGAGTAGCAGCCCTAACGGCTCAATATTGACCAGAATTAAATTCGCCACAATTTTCAGCGTTGAGCTTGTGTAATCGTTATCCAAGTCCAGGCAGTAATGATAATTTGGGAGACGGACAGCAGTTTGTTTGTGATTTGTATAACGTCGCAATGATTAATGCTCTTGCTTTTTAATCGAGATGCTCCAGGTTCGAATCTTTTTCCGGAGTCAACTGTCCATATTGATAATTTTTTTTTTTTTCGTTTTCGTTAACTGCAGCTGGGATATTACTTCAGAATGCACGACGATCCCCCCCCCCGTTCTGCGCCCTTTTCATGTCACCGGTGTGTAATTCGATGTTACATAACACACGGGTCCCGGTAAGGGGGCAAACAAGGCGTCTGCACCTTCCTGGACTTTTGAAAAAGACCAAAATTGTGAAATAGGAAACGTGCTAAATATTACTATCAAAAATTAAAAGTATATTTTAAAATAATAATTATTCTCTCCATAATAATGTACGGCAATCAGTAGAAGTGGCCTTAAGCCGCTTAAACAAAGTTTGTAAGCAAGTATTCTGACTGCCCCCCGCGTACGTAACCGACAAAACATCTTAAAATCTCGTGTGTGCGCGCCTCCCACCAAATAGCTTGCATTACTTCGTGGTGGGGGCCGAAAGCTATGGTCCCAGAACACGTAAATGCAACTGCATCTGTAACAATCGGCGCCATCGAGAGATGTTGACGGTGGGGGGGTGGGAGTGCGTTCACAGAGCCTCAAATTATGTTATGATTGCGTTTCAGAATCATTCCTTATTTAGCGTAATTTCTCTACACATATTCTACTTTATTGATAGATGCATTCCCAAGAGTGGTCGCGTAACCCGAAATTTTTGTCATTTATTTTGTCGAATATTAATAATTTCGATCTTAACAATAGTTGCTGTATCTGACAGCTTGTGACATCTGTTGCCATTTTACGTGAACTGCATAATCACGAAATATTTATGGGAACGTTTCACTGAGTTCGAAGTTCTTAGCGGTTCGGCACTTCTGTGCTTAATTTTAATTGACTTACGTAATTCAGTTAATTTTAATTCCACCCATTTTAGCCTTTTACGAATCCCTCTTACTTTGTATCTAGATAATTCGATTATTCTTTAGTCATCAGTAAAAAATCTAATAAAAATTGTTTGAAATCGCGTTTACACGAAATTTTCGTAAATAGGGAGCCATCTATATTTCGAATGGCGTAACGAAATTACGTAAGAAACAAGAAAAAACATGCAATAGGAAGAATCCTGTTGATTTTTCGATCTAACACCGTGAAACAGTGGCCTGAAGGATCGGGTCAGCCGTGAAGTGACTTGGTCTGTCATATTTTTCAGGATTGGGGATCCTGTGTCTCCCCTCCACCACGTATCTAGACTTTCACAAGCCAATAGCGAGTCTTGAGAATCCTGATCTCTCTGCAGACTGTCAGAATGTGGGTCGTGCCCACAGACCGAGGTTCTAGTGGAAGAGATTGTGTTATACATGGAGCCTAGAACATCTGACGGCCGAGCCGCGAAACACCGCCATTACAGACACGGTAAGAAGCCTGTTACTGTAAAGTTTCCAAGATAAGTCCTGTAAACTGGGAAAAGGTCTGCACATACTGCCCAGTGAGTTCATGTTCCTCATAGTCAGTGGCGGCTTTTATCTTTGGGATGACGGTGATTAGCCGTCACATGATATATTCTGCAGACGAATTCCTTTTAACTCTGTAATAAAACAAACTTTTTTTTTGCAACTAGTAAAAAGTAAAAGTAAAGCTATCTCTGTAACAGGCCATGAAGGCCCATAGGGTTGTGAGACGTTAAGGGGTCCCACATTATCTACACAATCGGCTCAAAGATATTTTTAATTTGTTATATACATAATATGAGACAGTGTTATAGTTGTAGAAGAAATCTGTTTCATTATTTTGAGGGATTCATACGTTTTCATCACCCCTGATTTTAAAAAAGTGGGTTTTGGATTACCCACTGTTTGTGTGTATATGCGCCTTGCTAGTGTCTCAGCAGTTTGACAGTTATTTCATATTCGGTATTCAAGAGCCCCTCCATAACGGTTCCGTGACATTTGAATATCAACATTCGGGTTCAGAGAACAGGAGCTTTTGGCACGGGGGACCTCCGAAGACAAAATTGCGAGTTTGTCAGAAACGATTCTTCCAATTTGGATTAAATTTCAGTAATTTATGGAGTTCATCACCCTTAATGTGACTACGTAGGCGTTATCTTTAGGAAAATAACGGTAATACCTCTAGTGGTTCAAACGCGAAATGTCGATTTTGACTTAAAATGGCCTGATCGATTGCCATTCAATTTAACCATATATATATAGAGGCAATGGACTAAGAAGTCTATAATCTGTCAAATGTATGTCAGAAATTATGTGCAGTTGCGCGGTTTTTTATTGCGCACGAAACTACTACTCACCACACAGCTGCTACTGCAAGTGCGACTGGCCGTGAAGGGACAGTCCTGTTCGATCCACAGAATCAATGATTGTTTAGCCTTTGCACCAACACAAAGAATAAACCACAGCAGTAGCAGAATGTTTTATGGCGATGAAGTTAGCAGTGACTGCTTCCTACTTGCGAGTCTGGAAGCGTTCACTGCAGCGAAATTTTTGCACTACCATTGTGCTTATGGGCACTGAGTTCTATAGCTAAAAGCATGACGACAAAACAAAACAACAGCTACTGCTACTACTACTACTACTGCTGCCACCACCACCACCACCACCACCTATCTGCTGCTCTACACCCCTTATGGACCTTGGCAGCTTTTTCGGTTTCTTAATCCTATACACAGTCGGTAGGACTCCGTAGACGGGGGATCAGCCTGTCGCAAGGCCGCTACCTACACACAGGACAACATAAACAGAATAAACTCATACAGACATCCATACATCGAGTGGGATTCGAACCCACGATCCCCAGTGTTCGAACGGGCGAAGACGGTTCATGCCTTAGACCGCGCGGCCACTGTGATCGGCTCACTTTTCCTCCTTCTCCTACTACTACTACTACTACTACTACTACTAACAATAATTCAATTCTGTTATTTCTTATTTATGTGCCGAGTCAACAGCCGCAAGGCCAATTACAGACACAGCACAGTGTAGGTACAAGTAATTACATTATGGACAATCACAACATAAAATCAAAGACAAATTACAGGCAAGCACTCGAGGAAAAACGCATTAATGCAGACTAGTAAACAAACAAATAGTAATAATAATAATTTAATTAACATAAATCTAAGTTGTTGAGAACTGAGAAATGAAACGTATAAATATTTAATTGAGAAATGAAAAGTGTAGATTTTCAGTGAGGAAAATAATAATAATAATAATAATAATAATAATAATAATAATAATTCAGTTTAGCTGTTGTTTCTTGTACATGCAAATAATAATACTAACAATTATAATACAAAATTAATTTTCCTCTCTCTAATCCATTTTCTCTAGGAGAACAAAATATAAGGTACAGGACATTTTTCGATTCCAGGCAGGGCCAAGAGATTTTTCTCTTCTCCGCGGCGCCCAGATCGACTCTTGCCCATTTCCGCACGCATCCAGTGAAGCGCATTACTCACCTCCACCTACTGCCGAGGTGAAGAATGAGTGGAACTATACCTCCTCTCTTCGTGGTGCTAACTTTAACTTTTCAGCTTACCTTTTGTGAATGTAGGCTTTGAGGTTCTTACAGCGTTGGTTATGAAGAATTCTATCTTCTGGAATAGAAAGCCATGTAGTCCGTTGAACGTCAACGGACGTTTCGGAGGAACATGTTGCCTCCATCTTCAGGGCCGAAGGATAAGCCGAGAAGGAAATCAAGGTGAAAGCAGGTGATAAGCAGAGTTTGTAAATTCTCTAATGTCTCGGATCGTAATTTTTAATAATCCGTCGTAAAATATTGCGTAAAAAATGTAAAGCTATCCCTGTAACAGGCCTTGGAGGCCCATAGGTTTGTGAGATGTTGAGGTTCCCACATTTTATAGACAAGCGGCTCATAGATGGCGGTAAGGTTGTCAGCCCTACGCTCTGGCCGCCCTTTATTCCCAAGAATATTCCTGGTACTCATTTCTGTTAGAGGCTGAGTCGACCCCAGGGCCATAGTGCGGCTGGAAGGATTAGGTAAATTGAAAACAATCCAATGACCTCATCGGGATTCGATCCCGCGACCTTTCGGCTTGTAGCATAATGCCTCAACCAACTACGCTACCTCGTGCCCCCGGTAAAATATTATGTAGCTTAATTATTTCCAAAATATTTGTTGGTTTAAATGTTTAATACTACGTTTCTGATATCACTTTCTGATATTATAATAACAACTATAGAATTGTAGTGTAATAGGGATTAAAATGTTGACAGGAGGTGTCTGAACCTTGAACTTAGGGAACGCGACCCCGTACCTCCTTTGTTTTAAGGAATTCGACTTTTTTTTTAATTGCTAGTGGGGTGGGACTAAGTCCCTTTTACTGCGGCCACTTCTGGCCTATTGTACCAGCCCCAGATGATAGGTGAGGGTGACTGTGGAGCAATTGGTGGAATGAAGATTGGCGGGGGAAACCGAAGTACTCGGAGAAAACCTGCCCCAGCGCCACTTTGTCCACCACAAATCCCACTTGACCAGACCCGGGATCAAACCCGGGCAGCCGAGGTGGGAAGCCAGCGACTAACCGCTTGAGCTATGGCGCGGCCTGGAATTCGACTTACGAGACATCGACTTACGACCCGTTTTCGAGATCTGAATTAATTCGTATGACCGAGTTGCGTTTGTGGAGCATTCAAAGCCACACCCCACCTCCTCCAGTGACTGTCACTGCTGACGATGTTCAAGGCACCGCCTTCTGTCCTCCAGGCAGTAGTCCTTAGCGTTTCCGTTTTCAGGTAAGTTCAACGTTATAACGAGATTTTAAACTCTAACGATTGTTAAAGAGAAGCATGTGAATGCTATCTCTGTAACAGGCCGTGGAGGCACATAGGGTTGTGAGACGTCGAGGCTCCCACATTTTATGGAAAGTCGGCTCAAAGATGGCGGTGAGGTCAGCCTTAAGCGCCGGCCGCCGTTTACATCCCAGGAATATTCCTGGTACTCATTTCTGTTAGAGGCTGAGTGGACCGCAGGGCCATAGTGCGGCTGAAAAGGTTAGGTCAATTGAAAAATTCAGTGACTTCATCGGGAATCGAGCCCGCGACCTTCCGGCTTGTAGCATAGTTTTCGTTAAGGGAAACAGCGTTTCGGAAGTTGACTGTGTTTCTGTCATCAGGTTAAAGCACGAAACCTACTTTATTGTGTTCATAAGATGAAGCTAATATATCCCCTGCTTCTTAGCTATCTTTAACATTTTAAAGCCTAGTGTACCGCCCGCTTTAACATACTGAAACTCTGCATTCTGCCCACACAGCGTTTTTCGTATGGCTCTCAGATCATCTCTGGGTCTCGCCTAGCCTTCTCTTCAGTGGGTTAGGGGAGCTTTTCGCCTGGGAGTGAAGCTGACCTCTCACCTCCATCAAGTGTTCAGGTTAAGAATTCGTGGAGCTATACCTCACTTGGCTGTACAACACAAGTTCGTTCTTGGATGCCTTCCCAATTCCTTATCCATGCTCATCACAGGCCTGCAGCCACCTGCTCACGCTGGTTCCTCGCTCGCGGATTTTTCTACCCTGAAGATGGAGGCGATACGTTCCTCCGAAACGTAAGTTTATACTATGTCTACACGGCGCCACATCCCAGAAGACTGCATTCTTCATAGTCACCGCCGTGAAACCACAAATCTTACCTGTTATTAGTTGTGTTATGGCGGATTTATGAAGTTGATGAGATGGCGTTAAATAAGTAAACAAACCGACAGAATTTATGGCATGCTGTGGAGGTAGCCGACAAACCCACAAGCTTCGATTATCGGCGACAGCAAATGCCATTACATAATGAGTTGAAGAAAACTGTGAACCATAAAAAACATCAACCCACTTTCACATTTCCGACCGCTATTTATCTGCTTCCATAGAAGAATGTTCGCTTCTAAGTTTTTAGTGCATAACATTCCTCGCTAATCTTCGTTTTACAGATGAGCGCATTTGTTCCTTTGTCATGCGTCTTTTCCAAATCATTTTCCTGTCAGAAATGCTCAGATGATGCCTGTCAAATGAACTATCTGTAAATCTTTATAGAAAGTTGCCGCAATTATTGCCATGTAAGATAAACATGCCCCTGTTCTAAATTAAGCACCATGCCATGATGGTGTGTGGGGCAGTGGAGGTATAGCTGCAAACACTGTTAAACCTCTGAACTACTATGAAGTGAGTTATAAACTTCGGGCCCCAGCCAATTTACATTGCAAAAAGAAACCACTACCCATTGGATACGAGGCTTAGTGGGACTTAGAGCCGATCTGCACGCTATTAAGTGTTATATATTTTTTAATATTCTTAGTGGGGTGAGAGTGAGCCCACTTGGTACGTCGGCCATTGCTGGCCTACTGTACCAGCCCCAGATGATAGATGATGGTGATTGTGGAGCAATTGGTGGAA